TGTTTATGAAAGGTTTGAAATTGTTTTCAAAATTTCATTATTTTACACAATTTAAGAAAGAGTAACTATAGATATAGGTTAGTCACATGTTATGAAGATGAAACGAACATTAAAAGAAGAGATTTGTCGTTAACAAATAATTCAATATTTTTCATGAATTAGTCCGATGAATTCATGACAGGCCATAATGAAATTTTCACGGCAATTAGCAGTATCGTTCAAGCTGTTCGCAGCAGGTTACGTAAACACTTAAATAATTTGGCACAAGTTAAACAAGCGTAAGTTTCTTGAAACTTTGCACAACAAACGAACCGCAAAGCGTGCATACCGCGAGTATTTCGCCGCGATACGATACGAGATTAAAGCGATCGTTATAAATCGCTGCAGATATTCTATCCGGCCAAGGGACAGAAAAGTTTCGTTAACGAGCAACCATAAGCCGTTGAGAACGTGAAATATCGCGGTGATAATTCCGATAAGATTGCCACCGGCTCCCCTTTCCTTTTTCCGCGAGTTTCGCGAAAACTTTTCTATTAAACAGCCGCCATTCTCGTAACTTTACTACCTGCTGATTTCGAGCTCCTCCGCGGTTTCCTGACGGCAAACGCGGAGAAAGGAGTTCCGCTGACGACGCAACTTTATAAATACCACGTGAAAAGAGGTACCCGAAGGTAAAACTGAATAACGGCGAAAGGAAAGTTGACACAAGTTTGCCTGAAACTCGCGTGCGCGAGAAAATGGCGCACGTACGGCGAGGCGTTTAAAATGTCTCGTTACCGTGTGATACCCCGGTAAAATATATCTCTCGACGTGCCTCGTGGGCCTCGTTGGGTTCTCGTCCAAATGAAAAACCCGAAAAGAAGGGCCAACGATCTTTCGTTGAATATCTGAATAACACCGGGAACAATTGCGCGATAATCATCGTCGCCTCGTTGAGTTTCGCCGCCGGAAACGCTCGTAATATTCGGCCGGATATTGTCCGAAAGTTGGAACGCGTTGATGGGCCTCGATGAAGCCTTTAGAAACTCTCGATTCGAGGATAAAAGTTAATACGGACGGTAAATAGACGAATTATACAAAATACTGACAATAGGTTATGAACTCTTCTTACTCGAAATTAAGGGGTAATCTCAGCTGAGACTAGATAATCACTTTCAAACTTTTAACGCTATAACTACCATCTATTCAAAATGGCTGATTTCTTCTTTCAAGTTTCACATATACTACATTACAAAATTTGTCATTTTTTTGTCAAAACTTCTGTAATATTTTATCCTGATAAAGGATGTCGTTGTGTATCAGTAGGTTGAATATTATAGAAGCAAGTGTGTTCTCAGCGCCTGTAGTTCCATCATTAAACGACATCATTGACCTTCCAAAACGTAATTATAAAAATGGAAAAATAAAATGATGAACTAAAAAATGAAAAAATGAAATGAAAAAAAGGCTCTCCAATTATAAAGATTTCGAACTAAAAAAATGTTATGATACACACAAATATTTAATAATAATAAAAAATCCTGAATAAAATTAAATATCCTGAAGTCCGAGAGTCCTACAAAGAAAGCGACAAAGTCGAAGTGTATTCTATTAAGGTGGAAAGTTTTTCATCGTTGAACGTCTGATCTCTCGAGATTTTAATCGGTCAGCAGAGAGACGTGGATCGGTCACGTACATCGAGTTTTCCGTCGTTGAACCCCATAGACGGGGTTGTCGAAACTGTTGCGGCAACAATTTTCAGATTGAAGAAGTTAATAGAGCGAAGCGCCCTAAAGCGTGCTTATCGAACAGAAACGTATCAATTGAAGTTCTCCTATAGACAACCGCTCGATACGAAACATTTACCGAAACTCTAACGATGCTAAACTTCCGAAATGAACGATTAGCTCAAGCCGTATAGACCGTCGGCTCAAACGGCTCCGATGTATGTTGAAACTTGGAGATGTTTATGGCGGTTTATTTACACGTTATTGAACAGCTAGAGATTCGAGAGTTTGGGAATTCGGAAACTTTGCAAATTCAAATTTTGCAATTTTGGGATCTGATGATCTTTTGGTGGAATCAGGATTTAGGGATTTAGGTATTTAGGAATTTAGGAATTTAGGAATTTAGGAATTTAGGGATTTAGGGATTTAAGGATTTTGGGATTTTGGGATTTTTTAATATAGAGATTCGGGAATCTAGGGATTTTTGGAATTTGGGGATTTTCGGGATTTAAGGATTTTTGGGATTTGGGGATTTGGGGATTTGAGGATTTGGGGATTATGGGATCTAGAGATTCGGGGATCTAGAAATTTTTGGGATCTAGAGATTTTTAGGTTCCAGGGATTTTTGGGATCTAGAGAATTTTGGGATCTGAGAATTTTAGGATCTAAAGATTTTGGGATCTAGGAATTCGTGAATCTAGTTTTTTAGGGATTTTGGGGATCTAAGGATTCGGACATCTAGGGATTGAAGGATCTGGAGATTTGAGAATTATGTAATTAGATATCCAGGAATATGATAGTTTAAGAATTTGGTCTGGGTTTTGAAGATTTAGTAATGTTAAAAATTCAATATTCAATTAAACAATCTAACAAATTGGAAATGTGAAACCTAAAAAAATAGACAACTAGAAAATTAGTAAATTTGATCATTTAAAATCTGTGAACCCCTAAAGCACTAAAAAAATCGTTTTCCTATAATTAAGAGAAGAAAATATATCTTGAGACTTACTCGAGCGAACCTACCGTAAAGAATCTATGACGCCGCGATTAAAAGTGAAGCGGAGTTGAACAAGCAAATATACGCCGGGGCCATATTTCGCAAATATTCAATGAACCCGATGTAAATCAGGGTGGTAATTTCAAGCGGCCGTCCATAACGAACCGGAAGGGTACAGAAGTTAGAACGAACGAGAAAGCTCATTAACTTTCCGGACTGCATCGAGGCCCCGTGCTTATCGGCGTTATCGGGCCGAGCTAATATCTCACGGCCTAACCGGAAATCGATGAGACACTTCGCGGCCTCTTGCCGTTTAATACCGGTGAAAATTATTGTCCAAGTTTCCGTCGGGACCCTCTGGCCACCAGGACCGGGAAAGAAAAATCGACGTATAGGACTTTAAAGGAAGTAAAGCGGGAACAAAGGGAGCACGTTCGAGTCCCCCGATGAATAATGCAAAAAGCATGTTCCTTCGCTTCCGCTCTTATATCTGCAACACCGTGTCCGCGTGGGAACAGCTGGAATTTTTATACCGACATCGATCGTGACTCCAGGGATTCTAATATCAAAGCAGCTCGATAAATAATTACCTTTGTGGCTCCTGTGTGCTTGATTCTGTAAGCCAAAGCACGTGGGACCTCGGTGATTTTGAAATTCAGGAAGGAAACAATTTCGATAACTTATTGAACAAAAATCTGAAGAAGCTGAACCATTTAACAGACTCAAAAAACATATAGAATTTAAGGTTCTTAATAAACTGGCTGAACTATGAGACATTAAAATATTTTATGAACTTGAGGATCAAAAAACTTGAACAATTTAACAAACTCGGAAAACTTGCACAATTTTGAAAAACTGGTTGAACTATAAAATATTACAAAATTTGACGAATTTGATGATCAAAAAACTCGAACTACTCAACAAACTCAGAAAATTTGTAGATATTGAAAAACTTCATAAGCTTGCTGAACTAAGAGACTGTGAAAAACTTGGTGAACTTGAAGAACATAAAGAACTTTAAAAATTGGACGAACTTGATGTACTTTAAGAACTGGAAGAATATAAACAACTTGACTAGCTTGAAGAACTTAAAGATTTTGATGAACTTGAAGATCTTAAAGAACAGTCATTTTAAAGGACAATGATCTTGAAGTCAAAGACTTTATGGAACTTGATGAGCTATGATCTGGAAAACTTTGAAGAGCAATAACACTGAGGACCTTAAAAAACTTGAAGACTAATGACTTTAAAGAACTTGACCAACTTGACGAACTACAAAAACTTGACCAACTTGACGAACTACAAAAACTTGACAAACTTGATGAACTTAAAGAACTTGAAGAACTTGAAGACTTGTAGAATTTGAAGAATTTGAAGAACTTGAAGAACCTGATGAACTTGATAAATTTGAAGAACTTGATGAATTTGATGAATTTGATGAATTTGACAAACTTGACGAATTTGATGAACTTGGTGAACTTGGTGAACTTGGTGAACTTGGTGAATTTGATGGACTTGATGAACTTAGTGAACTTGATGAACTTGACGAATTTGATGAACTTGGTGAACTTGGTGAACATGGTGAACTTGATGAACTTAGTGAACTTGATGAACTTGATGAACTTGGGGAACTTGATGAACTTGGTGAACTTCGTGAATTTGATGGACATAATGAACTTAGTGAACTTGGTGAACTTGGTGAACATGGTGAACTTGATGAACTTAGTGAACTTGATGAACTTGATGAACTTGGGGAACTTGATGAACTTGGTGAACTTCGTGAATTTGATGGACATAATGAACTTAGTGAACTTGATGAACTTGGTGAACTTGATGAACTTGGCGAACTTGGTGAATTTGATGGACTTGATGAACTCAGTGAACTTGATGAACTTGATGAGCTTGATGAACTTGATGAACTTGATGAACTTGATGAACTTGATGAGTTTGATGATCTTGATGAGCTTGGTGAACTTGATGAGCTTGATGAACTTAGTGAACTTGATGAACTTGATGAACTTGATGAACTTGAAAATTTTAAGACCTTAATATACTGAATGAACTTGAGAAACGTGAATACCTTAAGCTTGAACTCCTCAAAAAACTCCATATACAGTAAATTAAAAAACCGAACGAGTCTTCAACATCAGCCTGAAAAAGTGTTTATCTTAAAAAGTTTCCAAACGCATTGGCTGACAGTGTGATTAATTTGATGAATGAGGAGTGGAGGATACAACGAAAATTCTACCCATATTTACCGTAAGAAGGTGAAGTAATTAATCGAATTAACATTTCAGCATGGGTGGGAGCATTGAGTGCTGCGGTTTCCCGTGGATCTGCTCCATTGGTTGTCGGCGCGTGTCGTCGTGGAAGTACAAGGCTTACGGCTGTGATTGGCGGTCTCGTGTTGGCATTGGCGTCGCTCTTCACATCGTTCGCTGTTGAACTGCACCAGGTACTTCTTAGGTGAGTAACAAGCCTCTTAATCGCTTTAATGGTTGCCGTTAGATCATCGTAGCGAATTAAACGACCAACCTCTAATTGAACGAGAATCGAGCTTTTCTTCGCATAATTCCGATTCAATCATCGTGGTCAAATGCACTCTGTATACACGATACACGTACAAGTTCCTTTTAGACAAAATTTTGTTAAAATTTGTTTTGGCCAAATCCTTCAAATATTCATAAAAGTTAGTCATACTGATTGGTGTTAACATATATTAAATGTAGAATAAAGAAATTGGATATTCATCTGTTTATACTTTGATAACTTACAGTCTAATAAAAAATAAAAATTGATTAAGGCAGCTATTCAAAACTGCTATAATAAACCTTTGTACCCCCGCAATGAATAGAGCACAATGAATGCATAAACCTTCGATGAATAAATCTTCACAAAATTAATCAAAGTTTTTAGTCCAAACCTTACAAAATTCATACAAGAAGTAGAAACGCAAATGTACGTTGGCAGAGTAAGATGTTATTTCCCCAACGTATCCTCCTTAAATAAATAACACCAGTTTCCTACGCGAAGTTCGAAAAGAAGCCATCTCTCAGCAGGACCAGATTTCCCATACGAAATCCTCGTCACGGCTAAACGATATCGTTTCTCGATTTCTCGAGCGCCAAGTTCGGCTCGTGAAAACCATAAATCCGAGTACCCTCGAAGTTCCTCTCGATTCGCGCGACTGTAGAGAATCCTAGAGGTCGTCAAATCGTTGTCAGTTCTGGATCGAGCGAAAAAACGATTCACCTTTTGCAAAATGTAACAGCTACGGCGTGGTGCTGGGAACCGGCGCTGGCCTCGTGAGGGAAACTGCCGGTCTGGTGCTGGGCCATTACTTCAGAAAACGACGGGAGTTCGTCGAGATGGTGGTGCAAGCTGGTACGGGGGTGGGAATAGTGCTCTTCAGCGTCTTCTACAGGGAAGCCGTCGGGTAAGTTATCGCTTGCATCTCCAACGCTGATGCGCTCCTAGGAATCCTCATTTCGACAGAGCCCTGCTTGACGTTGATGCGAGCTTGAAAAATAACTGGATTCTCACGCTCGCCTTTGTCGATGACTTTAATCATGTGTCTTAGACGAGTTTTTAAGAATTTTTCTTGGCATTTTGGGAATTTTCGGAGAAATAGTTTTTGTATATTAGTGAGAGTCTTGGGAGGAACTTTTGTGGGGGAACTTGGGAAAGAGGGATTTAGGGAGATGGGATTTGGGAAGGTGGGATTTGGGAAGGTGGGATTTGGGGAGATTGGGATATGGGGAAGTGGGATATGGGGATATGGGATTTGGAGACATGCGATTTGGGGAAATGGGACTTAGAAAATTAGGGAATTGGGAAATTAGGGATTTAGGGAATTAGGGAATTAGTGAATTAGGGAATTAGGGAATTAGGGAACTAGGGACTTGGGAAATTAGGGAGTTGGGAATTAGGAAATTGGGGAATTAGGGATTTGGGAAATTAGAGAATTAGGAAATTAGGGAGTTAGGAATTAGGGAGTTGGAAATTGGGAAATTGGAAAATTGGGAAATTAAGGAATTGGGGAATTAAGAGATTGGGAAATTAGGGATTTGGGAAAGTAGAGCATTGAGAAATTAGGGAGTTGGGAATTAGGGAATTGGGGAATTAGGGAATTGGGGAATTAGGGAATTGGGGAATTAGGAGATTGGGAAATTAGGGAGTTGGAAATTAAGGAATTGGGAAATTAGGAGATTGGGAAATTAAGGAATTGGGGAATTGGAAGATTGCAAAATTAGGGAATTGGGGAATGAAGGAGTTGGGTAATTAGAAGATTCGGAAATTAAGGAGTTGGGAATTAGGAAATTGGGGAATTAGGGATTTGGGAAATTAAGGAGTTGGGAATTAGAAAATTGAGGAATTTGGGAATTGGGAAATTAGAAAAATAGGAAATCAGGGAATTGGGAAATTAGAGAATTTTGGAATTAGAAAATTAGATAATTGGGAAATTAGGAAATTAGGAAATTGGCAAACTGAGAAATCAGGAAATTAAAAAATTTAGAAATTAGGAAATTAAATAATTGGGAAATTAGTAAATCAGGGAATTGAGGAACGTGGTTCAAAATTATGATACTTCTAGATTCCAAAATTTGATAAATTTTCTTGAAATCTAAATTAAATCAAGTTTGAATAAAACTCAATATAATCAGACAAGTAGAACAGGTGAACAACTGCCCCTTACATATAAAACGAAATTCAGCCCAAAAATAATTAACCAAAATAACCCAAAGGTACCACAAAACAAGTCCAATAATATTGATAAATACCCATAATCCAATAAAACTGATTCATATCCATCAAATTTTAATAAATAATAAAAAAAGAAGCATACGAAATTCAGCCAGCAAAATAAGTAAATTTCCGCACGAACGCAGTAAACTGCGATAAAACCCAATTAATCCATCAAATTGATGGAGCAATTGTTTCGGAACCATGTGTCCTGACATTTTATCGGGAGTATAACATCTGAAAGTATCCGGGCTTGACAATTCGCACGAAAGTTCGTCGATATTCTAACGAATAGCAATCTGGAACAGCAAACAAACCGTTCTATCGTTCGAATAGACGAGCACCGAAACGGAAATGGACGTCCAATTATTTCATACGAAATGTTTTTTTCTCTCTCTCTCTCTCTTTTTTTTTTGAGCGTTCACTGATCATCGAGGTAGCGAGACAAAAGGGAATGCTTTCAACGAACTATTGTAATTTAGACGCGGTTGCTTGTCGATACTTAAACGACAGCCTTCTGATCTCTATTTTTGTCTCTGATGTCTCCATGAATCGAATAGAGAATCACTCGAAAGACAATTAGTTTCCATTGGCGCGATATCCAACTATCGATATAGAGAACACTTGATTGTCGGTCGGCTTCTTCTTTCGTCTTCCATTAACGCACTGTATTTGGGCAGGGAAATTGCTATCGGAAAAATTGATTGAACCATCGATTTCTTTCTCTTCAAAGACAATCAACTTTACATTGTAGCTTTCGTTTTATTGGATACGTTGAATGTTTGCTGAAAAGTGTGTTTCTGGAACTTGGCCTGTTTCGTTAAATTTTCGAACTTGAGAAACTTCACAAGTTTGGTGAAATAGTTGAAAAAAATGATGTAGTTGAAGAAATTCAAAAAGTTGAAGAAGTTGAAGAAATTCAACAAGTTGAAGAAGTTGAAGAAATTCAAAAAGTTGAAGAAGTTGAAGAAATTCAAAAAGTTGAAGCATTTGATGCAATTGATGAAATTCAATTCTTCATTGAAAAAATTCAAAAAGTTGAAGAAGTTAAAGAAATTCAAAAAGTTGAAGAAGTTGAAGAAATTCAAAAAGTTGAAGAAGTTAAAGAAATTCAAAAAGTTGAAGAAATTAAAGAAATTCAAAAAGTTGAAGAAGTTGAAGAAATTCAAAAAGTTGAAGAAGTTGAAAAAATTGATGAAATTAATGCATTTGATGCAATTGATGAAATTCAATTCTTCAATTCCTCAATTTCTCAATTTTTCAATTCTTCAGTCCACTAACCCTTAAACTTTTCAATTTTCAACTCTTTCATCTGTAATCTTTTAAAACATTCAAAGCCTAAAAATTTCAGTTCTCTAATGTCCACAACATCCAACTACGAAATATCAGCACCGCTATGAAATATTCAAACAACAGCCATAAAAGATGCGGGATAAAATGTGGAACACGGTTTATCAGATGCTTCAGAGCGACCTTAAAAAAATTATTATCTCAACGAGTATAAACAATTTTCAGTCCGGAAAGCGGCACAGTTCGAGGGAGATCATTCGTTCAAATAACAGACTTCGTATCATAAAATTACCATCTTGTGCATTAAGGAACACGAAGAGAGAACACGGAGCTGTTTCCAGCTCGAGCAACAGGAAGGAGAACGATAAGCAGAAAACGTTTCGCATCAAAGTAAACCCTTCGAAGCTCGCGAGATAAACTGATCCTCTAAGCAGATTCGAGGCGTTCTCAGCTTTTAGCCTTCGAGTTTTCACCGTTCCACTTCCGTTTCCGTCGGTGGATTTAATTGTGAACACTGTGTTGATCGAATTTTCATCAGTCTGCCCAGTTCGTTTAATTAAAAGCATTCGAGACGAACGATGAGAACGTTCGTCATCGCCGTTTAATATTCCTGACGGCAACTGTGATCGATCCATTAACGTAATTAAGAAGGAGGGAGATTACTCTTCTTCTGGGGTACTTTTTGCCCTGGTTTTCTCGAGATTATGCGCATTTTACTATTGTAGCCATAGCACTTTACTTTCGAGTGCCACGCGTTCTGACTACCGGTTATATTGCCGTGCATTGTGTACAGGATTTTCGAATTGTTCTACATGTTCGAGTTTTCAAGCTCACTTTTCTCGAGTTCTTCAAAATTATTCTGGGTGTGTTTTATAAATTTTATGGATTCTTCAAGTTTGTACTGTTCGACAAATTCATAATGATTAGATGGGTTTTCAAGGTTCAGGAGTTTAGGAAATTCAATTGAAGAATTGAAGAATGGAAAAATGAAAGAATGGAAGAATGGAAGAATTGAAGAATTGAAGAATGAAAGAATTGAAGAATTGAAGAATCGGAGAATTGAAGAATCGAAGAATTGAAGAATCGAAGAATCGAAGAATCGAAGAATTGAAGAGTCGAAAAATTGAAGAGTCGAAGAATTGAAGAGTCGAAGAATTGAAGAGTCGAAGAATTGAAGAGTCGAAGAATTGAAGAGTCGAAGAATTGAAGAGTCGAAGAATTGAAGAGTCGAAGAATTGAAGAGTCGAAGAATTGAAGAGTCGAAGAATTGAAGAGTCGAAGAATTGAAGAGTCGAAGAATTGAAGAGTCGAAGAATTGAAGAGTCGAAGAATTGAAGAGGAATCGAGGAATTGAAGAATTATAATCTTGAAAAATTGAAATCTTAAAAAATTGGTACCTTGAAGAATTGTAACCTTGAAAACTTGAATAATCGAAAAATCGAAAATTGAAAAATAACACAACTCCAAATCGAAAACTAAAAAGTTGTAAAACCAATAGACAAGAAAATAAAGAAATGTATAAATTGTAAATTATCAAATAATCAAACTAAACAGAACTACATCTCAATTTCGAAATTTGGATATTCGAGATCGCATAAGTTAGGAAACGCGAGATCCGGTAATTGACGTGTGTACACTTGAAATGGCCATACAGCACAGACGTCATTAGCAACAAAGGGACTAATTAGCGCAATAGGAAAGCTGAGATCGAAGCAAATCTTGTCTCGCGTTAATTCACAATAACAGCCACGCGTTTCAGCCGATTAATCCGGTCGTCAACGTCAAGGAGCTCGCCATTAATAGATTATCGAGATTTTCGCGCGCAGTATGCCGCATCACCGAATGACTTGTTGCATTGTTAAGATAGCTTAATTCTGAAACATCCGGCAGAATTGAAGCCATTTAGTGGCAGACTAATGCTTTCCCCTGCCTACCGGTCAACTCATCCACGGTTTGCTGAAAATCTACTGCATTGCAGGTGCTATGTACGAGATGTTCAATTTCTTTCGACACGCGGTGAATAGAAATTCAATCTAATTTAACATCGTTTCACCAGTTTGTAATTCGTGTAAAATGTACAAATTTAAAACTCCTATAAAGTGTACAAATTTGTAATTCATATAAAATGTATCAATTTATAATTCATATAAAACGTATGCATTTATAATTCCTACAAAATGTACAAATTTATAATTCTTATAAAGTGTGCAAAATTTATAATTCCTACAAAATGTTCAAATTTATAATTCTTGTAAAATGTGTAAAATTTATAATTCATATAAAACGTAATGATTTTATAATTCTTATCAAACGTACAAATTTATGATTTTTATGAAATGCACAAAATTTATAATTTCTACAAAATGTTCAAATTTATAAGTCTTATAAAATGTGCAAAATTTATAATTCATATGAAACGTAATGATTTTATAATTCTTATGAAACGTACAAATTTATAATTTTTATGAAATGTACAAAATTTGTAATTCACATAAAACGCAGCAATTTTATAATTCTTATAAAACGTACAAACTTACAATTTTTATAAAATATGCAAAATTTATAATTCGTATAAAATGTATAAATTAACAGTTTACATAAAACATTCAAATACATAATTGGTATGAAACGTACAAATTTATAAATTCATACAAAATGTGCAAATTTATAATTTGCATAAAAAAGTACAAATTGATAACTTGTCCACACTCGTAACATACCCATACAAACATTACAAAATACTTTATATAAAATGTAAAAAACGCATTTCATATCATATCGAAATTTCCTAGGTTCCGATATAAACAATTATTTTGTCCCCAATAATTACTCAAAATGACAAATGGTCAAAAATTGCGAAACTTTTTTGAATTCTCTGACAAAGGTTCCCGAAATGCGAAGTTGCACTTCAATTAGTAAAATCGACGTTTTATCGATCCAGCGATAGGGTGATCGTTTCGATCATTGATTAATGAAACGTCGGACGTTTGATTGATGGCAACACGGTTCCATCATTTTCAACGTTCATCGACTTCGGTCGTTGCACGCACGAGATACGTTTCCTTTTTTCCCCGGATCCTGGAAAACTGACCTGGCCGTGGTGACCTGGAGATAGAAGCCGGAGGCAGATTTATCGTTATGCGTGGGACGACAGGTTGCACGAAAAATCCTGTGGGCGTGTTCCCGTGGTAACCGGTGGAGAACGTGGGCGCCCAGGATGCACGCTGGATATACACCTACCCGTGACCTCTTTGAATTTCGTTCGGGATCTCGAGAATTTCTCCGGGACAGAATTGAAATTGAAGTTGCTAAAAGGAACGATACTGAGGCGCTGTTATTCTGCTGCTTAACCTCGGAAATATTTGTCCTACGTCCGAAACAACTTTGGTACTTGTAGAGACACAGCAAACCAATGCTTTATTATGTAGAAGTCGAGAAGTCGTATAGAAAAGAATACGTTTGAAATTGTTTATTATTACCTTTATGATGGAAAGAAATTTTCATATAACCTGCATAAGACATAACCTCTTAATTTACAACTCTAGATGGTTGCATCAGAGTTAAGCTATGTGAGACTTCAACGGTGTAATACAATGCGTGGTAAGACGACGCGTGGCAATATAGTGCGTGGTAACTTCGGAGAATAGTAATAGTCAAGCATGGTAACGTAACGTGTGGTAATTTCTAAGCGTGGTAATACAGCGCGTAGTAATTTCTAAGCGTGGTAATGTAACACATGGTAATATCTACGCGTGGTAATATCACGCATGGGAATATGTACGCGTGGTAATATCACACATGGGAATATGATGCGTGGTAATACAACGCGTAGTAATTTCGAAGCGTGGTAACACCACGCGTGGGAACACGATGCGTGGTAATATGACGCGTGGTAAATTCCAAGCGTGGTAATGCAACGCGTGGTAAATTCCAAGAGTGGTAATACTACGCGTGGTAAATTCCAAGAGTGGTAATACTACGCGTGGTAAATTCCAAGCATGGTAATACTACGCGTGGTAATTTCGAAGCATGGTAATACCACGTGTGGGAACACGATGCGTGGTAAATTCCAAGCGTGGTAATACTACGCGTGGTAATTTCGAAGCGTGGTAATACCACGCGTGGGAACACGATGCATGGTAATATGACGCGTGGTAAATTCCAAGCGTGGTAATACTATGCGTTGGTAATACTACGCGTGGTTATATGACGCGTGTAAATTCCAAGCATGGTAATACAACGCGTCGTATGTAAATTCCAAGCGTGGTAAATTCCAAGCGTGGTAATACTACGCGTGGTAAATTCCAAGCGTGGTTATATGACGCGTGTAAATTCCAAGCATGGTAATACAACGCGTCGTATTACCATATGTTGAATTTTTCCTGTACATCCACCTACATCTTCCAAGAGTGGTAATACTACGCGTGGTAAATTCCAAGAGTTGTAATACTACGCGTGGTAAATTCCAAGCGTGGTAATACGACGCGTGGTAAATTCCAAGAGTGATAATACTACGCATAGTAAATTCCAAGAGTGGTAATACTACGCGTGGTTATATGACGCGTGTAAATTCCAAGCATGGTAATACAACGCGTCGTATTACCATATGTTGAATTTTTCCTGTACATCCACCTACATTCCTAAACGTTATACATTACCACACACTGCACTATCATTACACGCAGTGACAATTATACATTACCACGCATTAATTCCCTATGCATATATCCGGTACATCCAACGCACATCCCCCTGTTATTACGCTCTACATCACCACGTAATATCACCCACCGTATCGTCCTTCACGAATAAAATAAAGTATAAAATAATCACCAATTGCAATAAAATACGCAACTCCACAGAATGCGAGTAAAATGGCGGATACTGTTATCGTTCCAAAGGTACTTGAAAAATTGAAAAAATATGGTAAAAGAAGGATTCAGTGTTTCTCTGTTAGGATCACAAAACGATCTCGTCGCGTATAGTTTAATGCCCGTTGGAACAAAGGCTTCCAGCTATTTCGAGGCTCTCTTTGACGGTGGAAACGTCGCCAAATGTTTCGTGCTGCTTCAACGTTATGAACTTTGCGGTCGCTTTGACCGCAAGCACGACGAAACGGGAACTGCAGCCTGGTGAATCCATCATGCGACTACGTGTGTAATTTCGTCTGGAGAATCAGTGTTCCGGGGTCTCCTTCGGGAACACTGGTCTTTTCTTAACGGAATTTCGCGAAGCGGATTGCGGTCGGTTGACAGGTTATTCTTTCACGAGTAAAATTGCAGATATCTAGAGCGCAAGAATTTCCCCTTATGGTTGTTCATTTTATCCGCGTTAACCGGGTATACCATTGTTTCAGAAAATGATACACACAAAATTGCGTATTAATCATTCTTATGTACTTGATGCATTAATACAACTGTAATACAACACAACGCATCCAAAAAATGACTCACATACTCCACCTCGCAATATGCATTACAGTTCGGAATTTAATTTAGTGGTACTAATAATGGATAGAGATACAAAGCTATGATATATGAATACACAATGGACTTTGACAAACTTAATACGGAACTGTCGTACTTCTGACTGTCGTATTCGACTCCATCTACTTGTTTCCGCAAATACGAACTTACTCGACTTATTTGCTCTTGTACTGTTCTGTTCTACCCGAGCGAACATGAACCTGATCTACTTGTCTGTCTAAAAGCACACTTGTTCTACTTATATGACTCCATTCATGTCGAACTCTTTACCGAGAACTTTACTGTTTAAGTTTCACCTTTCAAAATTTCTTTTTTTGAAAATTTTTTTGTTTTTGCGGAGATAGACTGGTCGACTTTATTTTATTAATAGCTCAGTATATTGTTAACATATTATTGTTCTCGTTATTGTCAATCTTTAATGTTCTTAATACTGTCCACACTGATATGTTCATGACACTTATATTTGACAGTGCAGATGTAACATAACATTTTATTAGACAGTATACATTAATCATGAGACTTGAAGTCTCCATTCAATAACAAAAATACAAACAATAAAATAAAATAATATACATTTCAAATTTAATAATTTGACTACCAAGTTGACTATCTTACATTCAATCATATGCTACTAATTAAAAGAGCATGAGTTTCTATAAAATGAAAATATTTCATACAAAATGAAATGAAACTATCCATTAAAGTGCCTCCACCATAAGACCCAATGTTTAATTACATCACAGCTAAGTTCTCCAATTATTCGTACGAAGACCTAAGCAATGAATAACGTATCACGCTCGTGATATATTATCTTTCATAAAATTGAATAATGTTCTCAGTAAGTTGACTCATTAAACAGGAAACAAGGAATACCCTCCTGTAACCATAACGACACATTGTTTCCTCAGAAAGCTGGGCTGGGAGCACGGTATGCAGTCAGTAACTGGAGCTCTCTCGTTGGCCTTCTTCCTGGGCTTGATTTACAAGAGTGCCTCCCTCTATCATCCTCAACGACGAGCCATGTTACACCTGAAGAATCAACGTAGCAAAGTGAAAGAGAAGAAGTCTGCTACCAGGGTACCCAGACAGCCGTGGGTCGATTTTAGCCCTCTGGGAAGTCGTCCTGTCAGGATGCTAATGCTGGCCGCAGGAGCCGCTGGTTTTGGCCTTTATACTCCTGCCTTTTACATCGTGAGTTCTCTAATCATCATATATTATCATTTTTCTAATTATAACGCGCTCAAGACTAATTTGCGATTCAAAAGTTAAAATCGCATCTTGCGTTTAAGCCGACGCCATTTTGTAGAGATTCCATTTTATGTTACTTGGTGGTTCGGTCGGGAGGAAATTATGATCGTTACTTTATATCACGCATTGGAATATGATGCATGGTAAATTCCAAGCGTGATAATACAACACGTGGGAACATGATCCGTGGTAAATTCCAAGCGTGGTAATGTAACGCATGGTAGTTTCCAAGCGTGGTAATACTACGCGTGGTAAATTCCAAGCGTGGTAATACTACGCGTCGTAATTTCTAAGCATGGGAATATGACACGTGGTAAATTCCAAGCGTGATAATGCAACGCGTGGGAACAGGATGCGTGGTAATATGACGCGTGGTAAATTCCAAGCGTGGTAATACTACGCATGGTAGTTTCCAAACGTGGTAATACTACGCGTGGTAATACAACACGTCGTAATTTCTAAGCGTGGTAGTATGTAGCGCGTGGTAAATACCAAGCGTGGTAATACTACGCGTCGTAATTTCTAAGCGTGGAAATATGACACGTGGTAAATTCCAAGCGTGGTAATGCAACGCGTGGGAACACAATGCGTGGTAATATGACGCGTGGTAAATGCCAAGCGTGGTAATACTACGCGTCGTAATTTCTAAGCGTGGGAATATGATGCGTGGTAAATTCCAAGCGTGGTAATGCAACGCATGGTAGTTTCCAAACGTGGTAATACTACGCGTGGTAATACAACACGTCGTAATTTCTAAGCGTGGTAGTATGTAGTATTATGTAGTATGTAATATTAAGTAACATTAATTTGTAGTATGTAGTATATTAATTTGCAGTAAGTAAAAAATTTTGTGAACAAAAAATTGATGCAACAGAAATAGTTGGGTGACAAAATCTGATGTTCAGACTCTTCATAAGTATACCTTGTACATTCTCTTTAAATTAACATCATTGAATCTTCATAAATCACTGTTGCCTTATTACCTTGTTACTTCATAACTATTACTCATCCTACATCCACAAGATTTGTTTAAAAACATCACAAAGTGAAATACCTTGCCAAACAAAATTTAAAAAAAAAAGAAAAAGCTGTCACATAATGGCTGAAAGAAAAGTCCTCACACATCCCACAAATCTTTCCTTAATTTCTAAGATTCTGTCCACCAAATTATGATCCTCAAATTATATCCAGCATTTAACCAGGCATTTCCACGGTCTAATTGCAAAATTGAAATGACAAGCCCCCGGCGCCTCAAAGATCCGACATGAGCCGCTTCAAAAGCAGCTCTATCCCCGGAATCCCTAAACTGCCACGAGCATGAGTTCTCTGCAGTTGCAAGGAGGATAATATAGAAGGTCACAGTTGTCAACTTCGTTATCCAACAAAGTCTGAACAAAGTTGAACGGTTTACAAACACATAATCGAGACTGACCCTGGTTATACGTTGCACGGTGTTTCCTAGTTGCAGCCAATCTGCACGGTGGCGGGTCAACTCGATATTGTGTGACCAACTCGTTTCGGTACACGATGAAACTTGCGGCTGTATAAGCTTTTCTGGTAAATCACTTTTCTAGGGTTTGGTAACAACGAATGTTGGAATACGTTGAATAGTTTGATGCGGTACAAACTATTGTATGGATGCATTTATGGAAGTTGTATGGCGATGATGTGGACTTTGAGTTGGATGGGAGTGTGTAGAGATTACTAAATACTTAAATTTCTGTGTTATCAAGATAGAAATTATGTTATTTAAATGTTAGAATAGGGTCTACAAGTTATGGGAGTTTTAAGTTAGCGGAGTGATAAATTTTAGAAATTCTAGATCCTTGGGTCCCCAGATATCTGGATCTCATAATAGTGATATATTAACATACCTACATCTCCAAATTTCAAGTTTGCAAATTCCTAAATTAATATATTTGTGCATTCCTAAATTATAAGGTCACCAAATTCCTACATCTCCAAATCCCAAGGACATCAAATTCCTACGTCCCCGAATTCTTGGATTGTCAAATCCCAAGATTATCAAATTCCTACGCCCCCAAATTCCAAGATGACCAAATTTCTACGCCCCCAAATTCCTGGATTACCAAATCCCAAGGTCACCAAATTCCTATGCCCCCAAATTCCTGGATCGCCAAATCCCAAGATTATCAAATTCCTACGTCTCCAAATTCCTAGATCCCCGAATTTCTAGATCTCCCAATTCCTAAATCCCCAAATCCCTACGCCCCCAAATTCCCAAATCTCCAAGAACCCAAACTCCATCCCAACACCCTCAAATCCCAATTTTCCCAACTTTCCAGCTCCCTAACTCCCTAAACCTCCAAATTCCAAGTTTCCTGAATTCCTCCGCCTCCAACTCCCTAAATCTCCCGCATCTACATCCCCAAATCCTAAGATCTCCATACTCCTACTCCCCCAAATCCGTAGATTACCACTTCCGTAGATCCCCAAATCCCAAATTCTTATGGAAGGCTTACTCCGACGGAAGCCAGATTTGTTGTCGACTGTACACGAAGAAGAAAATGAATGAAAGAGCGAGTCCGTAAAAGCTCCCCAAGGCGCCATTCAGGAGAGTGACAAGTGTGGCTCGATTTTTTGCCAGCCATTTTAGTAGTATCATGTTTTGCATAGTGAGGTCCGCACGGGGTGAAAATTAACACGCGACCTTTTTCTGCAACCTGGGTCAGATAAGTGTCTCTCAAGGACTTAATAACACTCGAGTGCAATGGTCTAGGTCAATCTGCATCTAAGTGACCTTCGGAGACCTTTGTATGCACCTTGTGAGATTATAACGTTTAACGAGGAAGTTGAGCTTAAGGGTAGAATTATCGTATGTAACTTAATGACGAGATAATTGGCATAATAATTGAATAATAATAGAAATAATGGCATGTATTGGTTACTAGATAGAATAATCATGAGCGATGAAATACAGCAAGAATTATTATGATTAATAATTCTTGACTATTTGTGAAAGATATGTAATATATTTGTAGCAAGGTAGTTAGCATGGTTATTATGATGTTACAAGTAGCAATTAGTTGCAGGCAACTTCATTATTTTCTTACAAACGCGGTAGACTCGCGTTAACTGAGCACCGTCGCAGCTGAGCACGATCAGTTACGGCGAGAGTTAATTGATTTCGAAGAACAAACTTTCGACTAAAGCAAAGAAACATTGTACAACGATTGCGATCAATGTAGCCACAAATATCTCCGACTAAATATCTGTGCATTTTACAATACACCACAAACTCACAAATATTCTATCATCATACTACAAACATGTGCACACATATCTTTCATTTCTTCCAACTAACAAAACAAATAAAAACTGATTCCATCAATATTGCTCCAAAAGAAACCACTTATCTACACAATTTTTCTTTATACCTCTTATCAGTTTAAACTGATAAGACTAAACTTAGACTGATTAGTCTAACCAAAAATACTCGATCACTTACCGAGGGATATTAACGATCACTTAACGCAACCTCCCTATACCATAAGATCATCAAACTGATTTTGCCCAATTAATGTCTTCCGTCACTTTTTTACTCCTCCATTTTCATCAACAATATTGTAACGAGCAACGTCCATTTCAGGCCTTGCAGAGCCACAAAGACGGTTTGGAGGCCAGTGCTGTGGTGCTTTTGCAGACTTGCTTGGGTTTGGCAGCAGCTCTCGGTTGTGCGGCTTGGGGAGTTGTAACCGCTAGACCATCTGCACAGTGTCTGGTGTCCAGGCAATACCTCTGCCAGGCAGCACTTCTAGGAGTTGGTTAGTATACATCAAATTGTGGCCTTGTATATCCCAGAGTACGTTGGCTAACTGGAATTGGCTAGCTACGATTTGGAGAGGTAATATTTCCGGGGAGTGTTGAAAATTTTGTTCAAACAAATATTTGTTATAATATGTGACGTTTTAAAAGGTTCAGTAAATTTTTCTTGGAGTATGAAGAGAGATAGGAAGGTTGGAGATAGGAAGGTTAGGTCAGGCTCGGTAGATAGGTCTATAATTAGTCACTAGATACATCTACAATTAGATACAGTAGACTGATTTTTGAGAGAGAAATAGGGAGTTAATGTGACGATATGAGAATATGGAAATTTCGGAATTTTGCTAGTTTTGTAATTGGGGAATGTGGAAGTTGGGAACGTGAGATTTGGAAATTTGGGCATTGGGGAATGTGGAAGTTAGGAATGTGAAATTTGGAAATGTGGAATTCTAGGAATGTGGAATTTGGGAATGTGGAATATGGAAATTTAGGAATTGGGGAATGTGGGATTTTGGAATGTGGAGTGTGGAAATTTAGGAATTGGGGAATGTGGAATGTGGAGACTTAGAAATCAGGAAATGTGGAATTTGGAAACTTATGAATTGGAGAATGTGAAATTTGGAAACTTAGGAATTGTAGAATGTAGAATTTGGAAACTTAGGAAATGGAAAATGTGGAATTTAGAAATTTGGGAATTAGGGAATGTGGAATTGGGGAACGTGGAACTGGAGAATGTGGAGTTGAGAAATTTAGGAACTGGAGAATGTGGAATTTGGAAATTTAGGAATTGAAGAATGTGGAATTGCAGATTGTGGAATTTAGAAATTTAGGAATTAGGGAATATGGAAGTGGGGAACGTGGAACTGGGGAATGTGGAATTTGGAAAATTAGGAATTTGCGAATGTGGAATTGGGGAATGTGGAATTGGGAAATGTGGAGTTAGGGAATGTGGAATTGGGGAATATGGAATTGGGGAATGTGGAATTGGGGAATGTAGAAGTGGGGAATGTGGAATTGGAAAATTTAGGAATTGGAGAACACAGAAATTGGAAATTTGAGACTTACTTAACTTGGAAGTTGGAAACGATAAATTCACCCCATCCTCCCTAAACAATAAAAAATCCCTTATCACCATCAACCACCCCCAAAATCACAAAAAGTGATAATAGCTATAACAGTTAGCTTTCTGTCCATCGCGTGTTATGGTCTCAGGGAGGTTCGGCCCTGAGGTTTCTAAACGTATAGCCCTCATTCAAGTCGGTGGTAGACTTTCTCTACCCCTACCAAGGCTCTATCACCCTTTTGAAGCTGTCGAGCTCTTCGAGTGTCAGCCGTATACACGTCTTTGCCCCTCATTCAGCTGGCTTACCCTCGGCTTGACTAGAGTTCCCGACACAAAGTATTTTCCATTCTGTCCCGAGCCACCCTGTCTCTACCCTGATACTTCGCCACCCCTTTCCATCCCTTCGTCCCGGTGTTCTTTACCTTTGGCCACGGAGGCGAATATCGCGGATAGAAGGCCTGCAATCGTTAATGGGGTTGCCTCTGGACAGAGGAAGCGCATTTAAAACTCACCCCGATGAATCGGACCCGTTCTCCACGCGGATTTTCTTATCGGGATGAAATGATCAACCGATTTATCTATCGCAATCCTTGTCGCCAGTCAAATCTGCGAATATATATTTTTTTTTTTGGGTGCGGTTGATTTTAATTGGATTGCTGGTCGATCATGGAATGTAGATAACGAGTAGTCTGTTGAATTAATTATTCAACGTGTTGCGATTGGTGAGGTTGAAATATTTTGCTTGTATTTGTTTTAATATATTTGTCATCAAATTCTAACAGACTTTACATGGTCCAAACTTGACCATTATTTTTATAGAATTCTTGATCAGCCACTTTGTAGTAAATCGCTGTGTATGACTTTCCTGTCATGAATTAAAAAAAAAAATTAATTGCTGAGAATTTATAAAAAAATGAAATGATAGGAATTTATAAAAAAATAAAATGATAAGAATTAGCAAATAAAATGAAATTATAAGAATTAATAAAAAAGATGAAATAATAAGAATTAGCAAAAAAGTGAAACTATGAGAATTAATAAAAAGAAATGAAATAATAAAAAAAAATAAAAAAAATAAATTGCTAAGAAATTATTAATAAAAGAAATAAAATAATAAGAATTAACAAAAAAGAAATGAATTACTAAAAATTTATAAAAATATGAATTGCTAAAAATTGATAATAAAAGAAACTGACAAGAATTAGTAAAAAATGAAATTATGAAAATTAATAAAAAAAAGAAATAATAAAAATTAATAAGAAATAATAAATTGCTAAGAATTTATAAAAAAAGAAAATTATTAAGAATTTATAAAAAAAGAAAATTGTTAAGAATTTATAAAAAAAAAAATGAACAGATAAGAGTATACAAAAATTCTCTTCATGCAACGAGATAATTACGAAAGTAGAAAATAGGTAAAAAGTGGTGGCAAAGATAATGATTCACCGGCGATGTCAGATAAAAGTTGAATTGTTAGAATTTAAAACGTGACTAATACCTGGACGAGCGCGGGACAACGTGGAAGCGACGTCGACGAGTTGAAACAAGGGTTAATACGCAAAACGTGCGAGCAAAAATTCCATGGAACGTAACTCGTAATCAGTAGAGAAGCGTATTTTCAGGCTACGTATACACGCAAACGTGAGCTCGCGATACGCAGAGCGTCCCTTTTTCACGACGGAAAAGGAGAGCTGACAACCAAGAGCTAAATATACAACCGAGAAGTCCCAAGCCCAAAAAGCTGCTTATCCCTGTCCTGTTGGATCGAGTTTGCTGCTGGCACTACTATTCACCCGCCAGATAAACTATCCAGGGAAAAAGAGTTTCGCTGCGTATTTCGTTCGTCTTCTAATGAGACAAGAATGAATGCATTTCGTGGCATTTCGAGAAAATTCTAATTTACCTTGAATAAAATGCATTTAGATATTAATTTCGGTTACTATTAACGTTTAATTGGAAATCTCCATCATAAACTTTTTCGCGGAAAATAATGTGATTACAAGTTTCACTCGTGCTTCAAATTATGTGACAAAGTTTAATCTAGTATAAGCTTCTTCATGGTAGATTACTTTTTTGTTCGTGAAATAATGTAGCTATGTATTTTGTACATGGTTGAAATTCTGCGACAGGAGCAAGTAAAAATTAGTACTTCATGGATCACTTTTTTTGTTTATAAAATATTTACAGTTACTTTGGGGAATGTGGAATTGGGAAATTTAGGAATTGGGGATTGTGGAATTTGGAAACTTAGGAAATGGATAATGTGGAATTTGGAAACTTAGGAAATGGTTAGGTGAAATTGGGAAATTTAGGAATTGGGGAATGTGGAATTGGGAAATTTAGGAATTGCGGAATGTGGAGTTGGGAAATTTAGGAATTGAGGAATGTGGAATTTGGAAACTTAGGAATTGGTTAATGTGGAATTGGGAAATTTAGGAATTGGGGAATGTGGAGTTGGGAAATTTAGGAATTGGAGAATGTGGAATTTGGAAATTTAGGAATTGGGGAATGTGGAATTTGGAAATTTAGGAATTGAGGGATGTGGAATTGGGGAATGTGGAATTGGGGAATGTGGAGTTAAGAAATTTAGGAATTGGAGAATGTGGAATTTGGAAATTTAGGAATTGGGGAATGTGGATTTGGGGAATGTGGAATTGGAGAATGTGGAATTGGGGAATGTGGAATTAAAGAATCTGGAATTGCAGAATGTGGAACTGGGGAATGTGGAATTGGGAAATTTAGGAATTGGAAAGTACAAAAATTACGATATTTAAATTATTTTGCTTAAATTGTGTAACAGAGTTCGATTTTCATCAGCCAAGTGCAAATTGATTTACTATAGATTTTTTGGTTCGCATAATATAATTATAAACTTCGCACACAGTTTAAATTATACATAACAAAGTTTTATTTTCATCAACCTCGATAAAAATTATTGACAAGTTTAATTGTGTACACACACGCATAACTACAAATATAAACAATAAAAATAATAATATATGTCTGTTAAAAAATTGCAAAACATTTTTTACATCAACTATTTCAATCGCATTATACTGTATTGAATTGACACAATGAAGTCATTTATTCGCACCGAAATTTTTACCAATTCACATTGTTATAACACCGCCATTGTCGAACACGCGATTGTATAGGGTGTTTAAATCAGAAAACATTTATCGATGATAAAGCAGCAGCGATAACGATCGAGATTTCTAATGAAAACGCCCAAAATTTCGGGATACGTGAATATCGTAATCAAGCGATAAATTGTCTTCCGGGTTTTATTCGACAACCAAAATCCACTGAAATTTTCGAATTTCATAAATATATAGCGTTGCTGATAAGACAAAATAAAATAGACAATGGCGTTAACGAGAAATTGAAGTTCGACATTTATTTTCATTTTATCTTTCGCATACTTTATATCACCAGAATTTTGTGCGGAGATCGAAACATTGATGCAAATATTGCGGAGATTATTCCGATAGGTGTTTTTTGAATTTTTGTCGTTTTCCATTTTTCAAGTTTTCAGGCTTTCAAGTTTTCAAATCTTCAAGTTTTCAAGTTTTCAAGTTTTCAGGTTTTCAAGTTTTCAAGTCTTCAAGTTTTTAAATTTTCAAGTTTTCAAGTTTTCAATTTTTCAATTTTTTAAGTTTTTAATTTTTCAAGGTTCCAATTCTTCAAGGTACCAATTTTTTAAGATTTCAATTTTTCAAGATTTTAATTCTTCAAGGTTTCAATTTTTCAAGGTACCAACTTTTTAAGATTTCAATTTTTCAAGATTTTACTTCTTCAAAGTTTCAATTTTTCAATTCTTCAATTCTTCAATTCTTAAATTTGTCTATTTTTCAATTTCATTCAGTTCATATTTCAGTTCTCAAGTTTTTTATCTTTCAATTTTATTCAATTCTTGAAGAGAAGCTCACGATATTCTATTCAGAATGTTATTCAAACAACAACATTTTTTAATTTTACAATTTCCAAATTTTCCATTTTACAATTTTCAAATTTTTCACCTCATAATTGTCAAATTTTGCATCTTCCAATTTTATTCACTTTCAGCTTCATTCGATTCACCATTCAATTATCAAATTTCCAGAACATTATAATTAGCGTTTAAACGTCTCCACTCTATATTAAATTCATGATTCAGCGAGACGGTCGCAATATTCGGCACATTAAACGTGTTCGCTCTAATGGACGTACTTTTTCATTTTCACGCTCTTTGTCTCAGCGTCGCGTTAGATGTCATCATCATCGCATCTCAGACTCTCTGTTTCATCATCATTCTCGTCTCATTCTTAACTGGTCCTCAACATCTTTGTCTTCGCGTCGTAGTCTTTCACCTACCTCATTATCTCGACTAGTTTGCCGAGTCCTTCACCCTCAAGGGAATTAAAATCGCCATAGAAAAAGACCCACCCTGACTTGTTCCACATTCAATTTATCATCGGATCCTTCGCTACAGAGTCTTAGACACTGACAAATTGTCAGGAGTTAAACTTTAACATCGTCTCTCATTTGACAACAAATTTTAACGCCAGCTTAAAAGTAACTCTTCGATTAACCCGCTTCATTCCAAAAATTATTCATAGTCATCATAAAACAACTTGAATGAAATATTTTTTAAACAAAACTAAATCTGCAGATACAGACGTGATATATAAACATAGCGAAACAGATAACAATTAATAATAAAAAAATTATGACATAGACAGAAAAATGATATAATACAAACATTAAATATAACATATGAGATAAAATAGCTTTATGAAATTTCAACAAGCATTTCAATTAAAAATTTGTACATTCGCAACTCGGCATAAAAAATATCTCCGAGAAAATTAAATGATCTACATTCCTGAAAAAAAGATTAAAATTTAATTTGCAGAGTTTAATGACCTACAGCGATGATACGTTTCGTAAATATATTAATCGAAGCGCATGAAAGGCAGGAGAGAAATCGATAGGTCTCGCATCGATATTCGACGTATTAATTACGAACGAGCTATCATTGATACGGAGTTATGTAGGCTTAACGGGCAACAGAACACTGTTTCATTGCTTTATTTCCGGTGTGCGCTAATGACCGTGCACCGTAAGAGGATTACGAAATAAACTGGGGCTTCGTTGTGCAGCTACTCTCCCACGTTGAAATATAAATGGCAATCTTCAAACGTCCATACTAGATATACCCGTGTTCATCGTGCGTTTATATCCAGCAACCACGTGGACCATCACTGCTGCCGAAATGGAATTCTGAATCCTTTCTAAATGCGCTCTAACACTTTGCTCGTTCGTTAAACTGATTTTAACCGACATTTCTAGAGAATTTCTGTTTTAAACGGGTATTGTGTTAGCGAGCTTTGGATTATATGAGTGAATTTTCGACGCCTTGGATTTTGTGGGGGTTGAATTTTGGGGGATTTTTGGGATTTGGGAGGAGGGAGTTTTTGAAATTTTGAGTGGAATAGTGGGATTTTGGAATTTTTGGAATTTTGGAATTTGGGGAATTTGAGATTTGGGGAATTTAGGATTTTGGGAATTAGGGATTTGGGGAATTTGGGGAATTTGGGATTTGAGGAATTTGGGATTTGAGGAATTTGGGATTTAGGGAATTTGGGAGTTGGAGAATTTGGGATTTGGGGAATTTCGGATTTGGGGAATTTGGGTTTTGGGAAATTAGGGATTTGGGGAATTTGGGATTTGAGGAATTTGGGATTTGGGGAATTTGGGATTTGGGGAATTTGGGATTTTGGAAATTTAGAATTCGGGAGAATTGGAATTTGGGAAATTTAGAATTCGGGAGAATTGGAATTCGGGAAAATTGGAAGTTGGGAAATTTGGAATTTGGGAAATTTAGAATTTGGGAGAATTGGAATTTAGGAAATTTAGTATTCGGGAAATTTGGAAGTTGGGAGAATTGGAAGTTGGAAAATTTAGAATTCGGGAAATTTGGAATTTGAAAAATTTGGAATTCGGCAGTATTGGAATTCGGAAGAATTGGAATTTGGGAAATTGAGAATTCGGGAAATTTGGAATTCAGGAGAATGGGAATTTGGGAAATTTAGAATTCGGAAAATTTAGAATTTGGGAAATTTGGAATTTTGGAAAAGCACATCTCTAACATCCCCCAAATGTGACCTAAATTTTCAGTCCTACTCAAACATACACATACTCCCCATATACCTACATACAATATGTACCTATTTCCCTATAACCTATGCACCTCAGTCCATCACTAATACTCTATATCCCTCAACATCCCCAAAATCCCAACACCCCAAATAATTACCACCAAACTGAGCCGTCAATTTTCTCTTAAACAGCTATAGCGCAGGTGGCTCTGGGCAGCGTACAGGGTTACCATGGTTTGGTGTTGGCGTCCGGACTCTACGGCGCCTCCCTCGGCGGCGCTCTTTATTCTCTGAAAATGCTGGCTCTCGAAAGACTGAGGGCGAGACACTTCGCACGATCCTGGGCGCTCGTGCAAGCTGCGGAAGCTCTACCTATTCTTCTCGGAGTTCCTCTTACTGGTAAATCGCTTTTATTCGTTGCCTGACAGTCTCCGTGCAGACTTTAGAGCGTATACGCGGCTTCCAGGACAAGTACCGATGACATCGCGATCCTTTGCTATGCTTCGCTGCTTGGAGATGTTGTTCTTTCAAAGTAGCCCGAACTCAAACGTGTCCGTTCGTTTGTTTGTTGTTTTTCACGTCAAGCACACGCTTCGCAGTTTCATGCTGTTAGATCAATGCGGGTGTGTGCTTAGGTGACGTAGATTAGGTTGGTACATAAACTTCATTTGCGAAAACATGGAGAGTTCTTTGAGTTGGTTTTGAGATTTACAAACATTTTGACACTTTACATTTCATATAGACAATGTGACATTGTGAGATATTTTCGATATACCATATATGTGATATAACATAATACATACCATATGTGATGCACATACATATAAAAACATGAGGAGTTCTTTGAGGTAGTTGGTTTCAAGATTTACAAACATTTTAGCTTTTATATTTCATATACAGAACTGACAATGTGACATTGTGAGTCGATATACCATATGTGATGCACATACATATAATACAATATACATTTGCTGTGTAAAATGAAGCAATCACATATGGTATGTATAGCTGTATGTCAAACGTAAGATCATCTAATAATATGTACAAGATATTCCCAATTTCTTGACCTCGAGTGACCTTGATTAACCTTGAACTTAAAGTATTTGTTTTGAAACATATACCATTACACATACACACATGCACATATGAGCTGTATGTCAGATGTAAGATCATCTAATAATATGTACAAGATATATAATTCCTAATTTCTTGACCTCGAGTGACCTTAATTGACATGAACTTTAAGTAACTGTTTTGAAACATATACCATTACACGTACACATATACCACATATGTTTGAAACATTTCCCATCATACATACTATGAAAAAATTTGGAATAACCTAATTATGTTAATGTGAGCAAATGAATTTCAGGTTACATGAACGCGAACAGCCCAAGGGTGGGTTACTACGCGTGCACTTTAAGTTCCTTGTGCGGTGCAGCGTTACTTTTCTTGGTCGGTTGGGGTCGACAGCCAGCGTCGCCAGTTTTGCCAGGGTCACATTTGTCCAGCGTGAACGTGCCACCGCCATGTGCCTGTCCACCGCCACCCAGGCCAAGGTTGCCGAAGTCCCAGTCCCTTCACGTGCCCCTGGACGTCGAGGAGAACCTCCGCGAGAGAGAGATGGAGAGGATGCACACTGCCGATCATTACTATCAACCACAGTTCTACGGGCCTCTGAGACCCAGCAAGAGCGTCCCGGAGGGTCTGAGTCACCAGGACTCGTACAGGAGTCGACCCAGACGCCACCGCGACGTCACGGTGATCGAGCAGATCACCACCAGCGTCTAATTCCGTGATTGCTTTGAGATAATCTAGGAAAATTCCGTGATATTTGTTAGCTGTGATTAGATGTCGAAGTACACAGCGGTTGTTGTTGTTGTCCCTGTTTGGTTCACCTTTTACGAACAGTCGTAAGCGTTCATGAAATTTCCTACTCGAGGACGAGAAAGAACGAGAGACTTTACGATGGAGGTCCTTTACGAGCGATATCCTTCACGGAAACGTAAAAGACGAAGAAATCTTGATAAGACGTTCCTACAGATCATTCCTTTATCCACTGTCGTGTTTTATTTATCCCCGGCATAACAATTACGGTCCCGAACTTAGACAAATGGCAAATCGATGTGGTATTCCGAGCACGTAGAGCATTCCGGAAACTCGAGAATTAGAAAACGTCACGAGAGTTTTTGGTCGATACTGTTCGGCGACTGAAAAAAGAATTCCAGTACCCGTTAAAACCAAAGCCCATTACCGAAGCGCTATACCCATAGAAGCCCATTAAGGTTAATATCGCTCTCTAAAATTCGACAATTATCGCACGGTTTCGTGGAAACTGCATAATCCCTGGCAGGGTCTGGCTCGGTTAATCGAAGCGATCTGTTGTGCACGGAATAACCGTGAACAATGCGGGGTGCTATTATCGCGGTGGTGTTACGTTGTACACACGCGCGTGCACACCATGGTTGACGGTGAAATCTCGCATGATCGGAAATTCCATTGAGCCGCGTCGCTAGATGGACCGATTGCCAGATGCCTGGCCAACGATGCGTGTCAACATGGTCGCGTATAAGATTACGAGCGGTCGAGTTACCATGATCGCGTTCGACTACCGGCAAATTTCGAATTTAACACCGATCCTCGGTGTTTGCCAGATCGTTCCGGACGTTTGACTGCAACGCGAACCGGAAGTGGATGGATGAACGCGACACAAGCGCCAATCGAACGGAAACCTTCGCGCCTCACTCTATGCGTTTTCAGATGCTTTTCTATGATGCAGGAGTCTATTTTCTTATATGCAAAATAGTTACTATATTGTGTGAAATATAATAATAATTACTTGGACTATTGTTGGTTAGATTTTATTTATTTTAACGATCTTGTTCATTGTTAAGATTTTACTGATACGTTCAATAAATTCAGATCTTGAAGATTCAAATTTTATATTCGTCTTCAATTATGTTATTGCTTGGATATAGTATTTATCACTTGGATATTGTATATAATGTAATTACTTGGATATTGTATATTCATGAAGTTTGATCAATTATTGTAATGACTTGATATTGTAGTCATCACAGATGAATGTATAGACGTTTCATTTATCTTTCATTTTTTAACATCGATCAGTTTATTATGTTTCTACTTGAAGTATGTCCTAACCTTATAATCATGAGCTTTGGCAGATTGTTATATTGCATTGATTTTTATTTAATTTTTGGTGATATGAACATTTGTCAAGGAACAGTTTTATATATTTTATTAGTAAAGATGGGGTGTTCTGTTCATTTTAATAAATTCATATTGTAATGATTTTTATTATATTTGTTGTAATATGAACATTTGTCAAAAAGCAGTTTTATATATTTTATTAGTAAACAAGAAGTGTTTTGTTTATTTTAATGAATTTATAATGTAATGATTTTTATTTTATTTATGGTAATTTGAACATTTGGCAAGAAGCAGTTTTGTATATTTTATTAGTAAAGATGGGGTGTTTTGTTTATTTTAATAAATTCATATTATAATGATTTTTATTTTATTTATGGCAATTTGAACATTTGGCGAGAAGCAGTTTTAGACATTTTATTAGTAAAGAAGGGGTGTTTTGTTCATTTCAATAAATTCATATTGTAGTGACTCATTGTTTATTTATGATAATATGAACATTAATCAAAAAACATTTTCAAAATGATTAGTACAGAATATACAGGTTGTTTCGTTTATTTTACCTGCTTAAATATATACATATAAAATATTCAGAAAAAACAAACCTTTTTTATATTTTGCATATAAAAAAGAGACTCGTAAACTGTGATCGCAATGAGTAAATCAAAATACCTTTTCACTAAAAAATATCAAGAAAAGGCTCCTGAATGATTAAATAATAAGCTACGATGTTAATCAAAATAATAATAAAAATCAAAAGACGAAAGATGACTAATGAGTGTTCAGGGAAACGAATCATAGACTGTTGACGTATCATGAAGAGGTTTTATGTTCTTCGGCAATTATCGAAGAAATGCTATTAATAAAATGTAAATGGAATTTATATATAGTCTATCTGATCTATAATTGAAGTAAGCTAGGGAAATACGTTATTCGTGTTAAATGATTTTCTTAGTTACGATGTTATTACGAGGGAAGTATCTATTCTACGTTAATTTGCACGTTAAGTTTAGTTATCGCTAGGAAATGAACCTGCATCGAAAGTAACTGTAAATCTTTTAACGATTAGTGTCTTTTCGCTGTGATCACGGATGAATCGATATTTCCCTCACGTGTGTGCTCACAAGATAACACTTAGGTTCTTAAGTCGAGGGAAAAGATTGAAAAAAAAAATTGGAAGTTTTAAGTTTTTAGAGTGGAAGATATATGTATAGGAGACGGAGCTGGTCTTCGTCTTTGTTCGTCGCACGAATTGTTAGACGTTTTGGTTCATGCGGTTTGTGCAGAAATAATTGCGGGGTTGTTTCTACTATTAATTGTATGACTTTCCCAAATTTCCCGAATTCTAAATTTCCCAAATTCCTATTCTCCCGAATTCCAAATTTCTCAAATACTAAATTTCCCAAATTCCAAATTTTCCAAATTCCAAATTTCCCGAATTGCAAATTTCCCAAATTCCAAATTTTCCAAATTCCAAATGTCCCAAATTCCAAATTTCCCAAATTCCAAATTTCCCAAATTCCAAATTTCCCGAATTCCAAATTTCCCAAATTCCAAATTTCCCAAATTCCAAATTTCCCAACTTCCAATTCTCCCAAATTCCAAATTTCCCGAATTCCAAATTTCCCAAATACTAAATTTCCCAAATTCCAAATTTTCCAACTTCCAATTCTCCCAAATTCCAAATTTCCCAACTTCCAAATTTCCCGAATTCCAAATTTCCCAAATTCCAAATTTCCCAAATTCTATATTTCCGCTTCCAATTCTCCCAAATTCCAAATTTCCCAAATTTCAAATTTCCCAAATTTCAAATTCCCCAAATCCCAAATTCTCAAAATTCCCTCCTTCCAAAATTCCAAATTTCTAAATTTCCAAAATTCTAAAATCCCAATACTCCACTCCAAATTTTGAAAATTCCCTCCTCCCAAATCCCAAAAATCAACCAGCGTAAAATCCCAAGCGTCGTAAATTCATTCATATAAATTTTTTTTAACTGCTAAAGGTTGCTTTGATAATAATTTATATCCTTCCATACTTTCATACCCAAATAGCATTACATGTCGCCCTCAAAACAACAAAATATAAAATATACCCTTGAAAAATTATAAGAAAGATAAATTTACTTTTACAAATATAGGAGGAGACCCTAAATGTTATTCCAATATTAAACATATTAATTAATTAAACATACTATTAATTTTCAAATAGTATCTTCAATAACCTTCATTTTCAATAAATTGTAAATTTTGTTATTAATAACACCGCAATTATTTTTGCACCAACACAAAAATATACAGTACGTAGAAACCTGGAAAGTAAGTACAACTTAGGAACAATTATTGAAATAATATACGCATATTGTAATCTGTAAGAGAACAAAAACAATTAATCAAAAAGACTCTCGTCTCGAAAAATCACCTGTAATTCGTGCATATACACTCGAAAGTTCAATTATAGTGTCTATTAGAGAGGACAAGTGTAACTCTTTTCAAATGTTCGAACAAAGAGAAACAGACTTCAAAAACAGCTTCGAAAGAGATCGTACACTGTGTAACAAATATTTCGTAGTTCACTTTATCTCGGATTTTTATAGATATATCTGCAACGGACTGCTACTGTATTTGATATAACAGAGTACTGTAATATTCCTTTTTGGAAGTTTGAGAATTTGGAAATTTTCGAGTTGGAGGAATTTCAGAGTTGGAAAGTTAGGTGGATATTTTTCAAATTTGGAAAATCTCGAATTTGTGAAATTTTGAAAGTGCAAGGTTCCAAATTTCTATTTTTCTGAATTTGGGAATTTCCAAATTTCCATATTTCCGAATTGGGATATTTTCAAATTTCTATATTTCCAAATTTGGATATTTCCGAATCCCACAATTTCCAAATTCTAATATTTCCGAATCCCTAAATTTCCAAACCCCAAAATTGCCAAATTCTAATATTTCCGAATCCCAAAATTGCCAAATTCTAATATTTCCGAATCCCAAAATTTCCAAATCCCTAAATTTCCGAATCCCTAAATTTCCAAATTCTAATATTTCCGAATCCCACAATTTCCAAATTCTAATATTTCCGAATCCCAAAATTTTCAAATCCCTAAATTTCCAAATTCTAATATTTCCGAATCTCAAAATTGCCAAATTCTAATATTTCCGAATCCCAAAATTTCCAAATTCTAATATTTCCGAATCCCAAAATTTCCAAATCCCAAAATTCCCAAATTCTAATATTTCCGAATCCCTAAATTTCCAAATCCCCCAAATCCTTAAATTCCCAAATTCTGATCTTTCAAATCACCACACTACTCTAATCCCTATAACCTCCACTTCTCCGGTGCCATTTTCTCCTCCTCCGCCATTTTCTCCACATAAACCTTACCGCAACAGTCTTTCCGTCTTTCCTATAATTTTTGAACAATTTCCAACAAAAACAATGTCTTCTTTTACCTCCAAATTCGAGATACAACTGCGAGACTCTAAATATAATTTCTACACACAGATTTTCTAAGTAGAGGAAAGAAAATTGTGTACAAAGGATCAATGTCATAGCTGATCTTAAAAATCCCAGAAACGTTTAAAGACACTATTCCTTAATTCTCAATGGTGAATTGTTTGTATACTGCCAATTTTTATAGAATATCGCTGCTCTGATGCACTCACGATCTAAATGTAATATTCCATGGAGACGTAAATTAATTCACGAACCAACCGATTCACTGTAGGATTAATTAATCGCGTACACGTGTTTTTTCGACGATTTACCGCATTTCGATCGATAAACCGACGAGGTTTCCAAAGTCGTGTTCGAATAGAAATAATATATTTCTCGGACGAGAATTTTTGGAATCAACACTAAAACTACCAAACTAAATAATCACTTTATAAATTTTTATTTTAAGTTCTAACATTTTTTAATGTCATTTTATTGATTTTTAAAGTTATGTCAATTTTTGTGGAGATGAATTAATGTATACATTAATTTAAATATTATTGTTTGTGTTTTTTAAATTCGTTTTTAATTTAGAAGTAAACTGGTAGATTTAGTGTTAACAGTTTTGAGATTCTTGAAGACTCTAGATGATTAAAAACGTAAGCTTCTTTTTAAAGAGCATGTACCCTTCTTAGCACCGATCTTGACCAGAGTCTTTTTTAATCTTTTCGAATTTCCGGAAGTGACCTGTCTTAGGGTACTTTGATAGTCACTAGAACAGATTTTCAAGAAAACGAGTTTTGTACCTCGTAGTGACTTAGACCGATTTTTAAGACGATAGACCACTTTTTCCCCAATTTCGTGTACTCACTATTTTTATTTATAACGTGACTAAATGTACGCTTAAGAGGATGATATACGAACATATTGTGAACCCTTTCGCTACCATTATAAATAATTGAAATCTTCAAAATTTTACCTCTTTCAAAGCTTGTCATTTAAAGAGGAAAAGCTAGCTGAAGAAAGCTAATTAAAGAAGAGAGCGTAAAAGCTAGTTAAAGAAAGTGTGAAAGCTAATTTAAGAAAAGAGCGTGAAAGCCTTTAAAAATGGCGGAGTAGCGAAAGGGTTGTGAGACTGCAAAGAAACGTGTAATAAAAGAGAATTGACTGTTCACTGCGAACTATAGACTGACGGTATTAGAAGTTTCGAAATAAA